TCTTCGCAATAACGCTACTAAGAGCAGAGGAAACAATCACAAAAACTCAAAAGAGAGACAAAGGGAGAAACGAGAGACATGAGATAGTATTGTGAACCAGAGAAAGAAATTGATACCAACCCAATATATGACAAGAAACCAACGAACGACACATTTGAATAGGGGAACTTCATTTGATATTGGAGACACACCAATTCACAACACAAAGACATGAGATAGTATTGTGAACCAGAATACAAATTAAATTACTAACTAAACTTGTATAACTCGGCGAAAAGATCCTTGTCACTTATATAAACAATTATGAAATACGTAACTGCAAGAACCTATAGCAAATAGCAACCAATAACTACTCAAATAAAATTCAGAATCCCTAATCCAATTTGATGCTGAAGAGATTTAATTTAACAGTTTCCCAGATCATAATCCCCAATCCTATTGCTCTCTCTACTGGTGGCTCCAACATCTAGATTGTTCTCCAAAAGATCATTGAATTGCCAATTTCTTACAAAATATGTCCAAGAATGATATACCAGAGAAAATTCAAAAGCAAGTGTCAAACTTTAAAAAACACAAAAGAGATGAAATGAGAAGAAAGAAAGTTGAAGAGCCAAGTAATGACGAGGAAAGAGTTGATCCATAAGCTATGTGATCCCAGCACTGTTACGATAACTTCTAAACAGCTCTAACTTCGCCTCGAGGGCAATAGCTCCAACTTTAATTTTTGATAGGCATAATCAGATCTGAGGATTTGCAAGCTGTGCAGAGCACCCGATCAGGTTGATGTAGAGATCCTTTGGTTAGAGGCTCAGAGCCATCTTGTATTTCTTCGAATCTCAATTCAATTATAGAAAATGAATTGAAATACTCAGAGAAATATGGCGGATTGTGTTTGTTCATATTTTTGGGGTAAAATACAACGAAATCTAAAATAAGGCAGAATCAAGAAGACATTGAATAACAGTGGTTTTGAACGTATTCTAAAATACACCAAATAAATGCATGATCCAATAACAACAGATTTTAATGTACTTTTTAAAATACTTAATTGAATAACGCTGGATTTTAAAATACCTCTAATTCCTTTAAAATACAGTATTGAATAACACCCCCTAAGAGTTTTTTTAATCGTTTTTAACGGTTTTATAGCCAATTTGCTAGTTCATAAGTTTAATCGAATTCTAAATGATAAGCTTCAGTTTGATCATGATCCGGTTGCTAGGTTATTCCAAAATTTAAATACAAGTGAAACTTTTATCATTTAGTTTAAGATTATAACGATTTTAGTTTAGTTAAGATTGTGATTTTCTAATGTCGATATTGGTTTTTCATGATCAAATAATTATTGTTACCTCAAGTCAAGTCCATCAAACACGAAGTCTCTCTGATGTTGTCGTTTAACTAAAATAGACCTTTAAAATAAATTTCGTTGCTTTTTTATATTCACTACACAACAGACAACACACAACACACAACTCACCCATACAGTATTTATTAAAACGATTTGGTTTTTTTTTTTAAAAAAAAAATGGAGTGTAATTTTACTTAAACTGTATACTGTCATACTGATTAATACGCCTTTGATTCGGATAAGTAAAGAAACTTATGCAATGTAGTATCTACGGCCCTTATAAGTGAGATAAATGGGTTCAAAGATACTATTTTTAATCCCAATTCAGTATATATCCTCAAAACTACCTTTGAATTAAGGAATTACCACTTAAAAATAAATTAGTTTGGATGTCTTTTTTTTTTGGTTAACTAGGAGGAGTTTGGGCTTGGATCTTAATCTCCCTCCGTGGTCCCGGACCAGTTTTTGCTAATACCTTAACATACCTTCCACCGGGAATCGAAATAGGGAGCACATGAATCCAACTCATGCACTTAAACCACTAGCCCACCGCACCGGTGGTAATTATTTTAGTTCTGAAAATATTAACGTAAGGAAAAGTTGGTTTGGACTTTTATGCCCCATGCATGAATGTTTGGAAGATTTTAAGTGGGTTAGATTTTAGTTTTTATTATTTGGATTTTACAAAAACAAATAAATTATACAAATAAAAAATCTTGTAGAAGTAATTTTAAAAACCACATCCATTCAAGAATCAACACCATATTTTTATTCAGACCGTATATATATGAGATCAAAAGTTAAGATTTAGATGAGTTGCTCGTTTAAAACTTTTTAGGTACCAATGATGGTTCCAACAATTGTGAACGCAAGTCAATGGCTTCTTGGTCGTCTAACGAGTAACGACGTATATAATGGTCTTCGACTGTCGTATGATCAACGGCATACATTATATTGATGTTCCTCTTAATTTGGTTTCATTCATTGACTGACTTGAACGTTGAACCCCCACGTACGCTACGCTGGCTCGCCCTATATATTAGGCGGTAAGTAGAACGATTTTAAATACAAAAACATTTCGTGAAGATGCCTGAATCAAGGATCTTAGCCTCACCACCAATGTTGGTGATGATGATTCTTCTCAGCCTTGTAATAGCTTCCTTCTTCAGCACCACAGGTTCAATCATCATTTTAAGCTTACTGTAACATCTATTTATCATCATGTCCATCTACAGAAACTTATTTGTTTTGTTTATTTTTCTGGGAGAAAATGAAAAGCTGGACAAATCGGAGTATGCTACGGGATACAAGGCGAAGGCTTGCCAAGTCCATCGGACGTTGTGAATCTTTACAAGCAACATAACATTCAGAGGATGCGGATCTTCGGCCCTGACCAAGGCACTCTTGACGCTCTCCGTGGCTCTGACATCGAGCTCATCCTCGATGTTCACCCCGAAGATCTTGGACGTGTCGCCAACAGCCAACCTGAGGCGGACAAGTGGGTTCAAGAAAACGTTCAGCCCTACAGTGACAGTGTCAGGTTCCGGTACATCAACGTCGGAAATGAGGTGAAACCCTCAGATGGAGGTTTACTCTTACCAGCATTGCAGAACATCGAGAGCGCCCTGTCTGGAGCAGGGATTCCAGTTAAGGTTACAACGTCTATATCCACCGGCACCACCACAGAAACATCTCCTCCATCTAGTGGAAGGTTCAAGGATGAGTATAAAAGCTTTCTTGAACCAGTGATAGGTTTCTTGACGAGCAAGCAATCTCCCATTCTCGCGAATATCTACCCTTACTTCGGCTACAAGGATGACTCGGAAAACAAAATCCCTCTAGATTTCGCTTTGTTCAACTCCCAGTCCACTGTGTTCACTGATAAAGGAAACAATTTGCAATACCAAAATTTCTTCGACGCAAGTGTAGACTCTGTCTATGCGGCATTGGCGAAATCGGGAGGTGGATCGATGAATATCGGGGTGTCTGAGAGCGGTTGGCCGACGGACGGAGGACGCGGTGCCGGTGTCGGAAACGCTGAGACTTATGCTAACAATCTGGTACAACATGTGAAGAATGGAACACCGAGAAAGCCAAATGAACCTTTAGAGACGTATATATTCGCTATGTTCGACGAGAGCAAGAAGGAGAATGGTGAATATGAGAAGTTTTGGGGACTGTTTCATCCGGATGGACAGCCTAAGTATGAAGTTAATTTCAACTGATCCTTGGAAAGAGTTCTTGAAGACGAAACGGGGTCTTCAGGTCAGAGACTTGTGGGCTTTTCTAAAATAAGGGTATTTAAAAAAGAGTGGGAACTTGTTGTAATGATAAGGAATAATGACTAAGCCATAACTATGTTTTATACTCCATCGTTTTAAAATATACAATATGTAATTACTTTTAAAATTGATAAAGCCAATATGGAATGTTTTGGTGTATACTTTTTTTAGGGAGTGTTTCAATCAACAAGCAGTCTTAACTTTGGTTAAGTTGAAGCAATGTTTTCTATATAGAGAAATGATATAATTCTATAACTGAACAAAATATATAGATATCGGTACAGTTGAGGGATTGTATCGGATTGTAAAAAATTCCCGGAAATACTCTTTTGAAATTACACAAAAGGACTCTTCAACCTCTTCAAAATTACACATATGTCACTTTGTAAATGGTTTAGATATTTAAAACCAAACCAATTTAATTATATAATTCAATTATATTAAAAAATTAATATCATTTTTTTTGAGACTTTTTAACGTTTAACCAATGAGAATGCTCTAAATATAACATAGGTGGCCAGTGGAGGTCTAAAACTCAAATGAAAATAGAGTGACATAAATTGGTAGGATGGATAGTTAATAAAATCAATTCTGACGTAGCGGAAGGAAAAATGAAAAAAATCTAGTTTATAGATATAGAAACTCACTAAAACTATTGTTGCAATTTCCTATAAATTTTCCTAAATTTCACACAAAAATGGAGACATAGATGTATAGTCATTTTACATTTAAAGTTTTTTTTAAAAAATAATCTAATTGTCCTCAAAATTTTAACCAAAATTATTAGATTTACGTTGATAATTTAAGATGAAGCTGTTGGAAGAAAAAATAAAATTGATACATTTGAATCATAACAAAATGCTGAAACATACATCCATTTGAATACACCGATATAAACACTACCTTTAATAATTTTAATATGAATAATACACCAACACACACACAAAAGATATTACACCCCAGTTTCCCATCCTCATACATCGAATCATAAACCAAATTATTTTTATATATTTTGAAATTTTTAAAGATTTAAAGTTAGTTTTGTTTTTAAATATATTTATGAATTATTATGAAACCAGTATTTACAAGGGAAAAAATCGGAGAAAATACTTGATATTATATAAATTTTATTAGTTTGATTTTACGTTGAGTCGTAGAGAAGATATATATGTTAGTCAGTCATGTTTTCATTTTATTGATTACTTTTGCATAGTTTCTTGCGTTTGTTAATGAAAACAATTATGCACTACAAAAAGCAGTTGTACGTTGGATATTCTTATGGTAACGTATCGAACAAAATGATTTTGATTAAGTTATACAAATGGGTTTAGCATCAAATGGTAATTAATCAAAGTAAACAAAAAGTGTTTCCATGGAAGCAAAAAGTGTTTCATTCTAATTCCATGCATCACTTTTACTTTGTTCAAATCTAGATCATAACGAAGAAATATAGTATGATGGATAATGTGTACATTTAAGAAGATCATATATGTATATGCTATGATTTATTTCGGTTGTTTAATAGATAGTTGATCTGTTTGTTGTTGACTAAAGAAACAAAAAGAATAAGAAAACTGAAAACACGAATGACAGAATAATAGTGTTGTAAAAATAAAATAATTTTTGTTGTTGTATTAAATGAGTTGTCCAACTAAAATTCGTTGGATTTAGTAGTGGCAATATTTTCCAATATAGTTTTATAGCATTTCATTATCATAATTGTGCATGTACTCTCTTTTTAGATTCTTAAGCATACGTTATTCTTACATATTAATATATATATAAGTACATTTCTAACACAACTTCTCAAAAATTTATCTTCTAATGTCTTTTTAATAAATGGTAATGATTACAATTATTTTTTGAAAGGCTATAGGAGTTTACAGACGACAAACTCTACAAGCGAAGAACATGCTCTCAGCAAACTTAGATAGCATGCACCAAACTCAGAAAAATTTATCGTAGTTATTTGTAAGTAACTTTCGTCCCAATCGATGAACAAGATTTGTTTTGTTTTATATATTTTGTCATATGTCTGTTTGTTTGGATATTTTTGAACCTGAATATCAATCAAGCGGTCTGGCAAAACATTTTTAGAGAGTATATCAAAATATTAGAGTATTTCTATAAAGGGAAAAAAACTAGATTAACCCAAATAAAAAGATTAATTACTAGACTAACTTATAAAATATTTGGGTTAGATGAGTACTTTTCATTATAAAAATACCCTTTTTTGGCTTTGTTAGGAAAGAAAAAAAAGTCAACATTACCCTTTACAAAATAATCAGCAATTCTCGTAAAAATCTGTCGTTAATGTTGTTAATGTAGTGACATATTTATTTTTGTACGACAGATTAATTATAGAATGACAGATTTATTTTCAATGACAGATTTGTTTGGAAATGGTTACGACAGATTTAATATTAGTGACAGATTTATTTTTTTATGACAGACTTTTAAATGTAATGATGACAGACTTTTGTTATATACGACAGATTTTTGTAATGTATGACAGATTTGTGAAAATATTTGACAGATTTATTTTGTTAGTTATTTCAGATTTTTTTCCCAAAAAAAAAACTGTCGTTTATTGACATACTTGTTAACAGAAAATTAATTACTAGTTTGACTTATAGTGATGACAGATTTGTGTGAGGTTATGACAGATTATAAAAATTTACTAAAAAACTGTCACTTGATAACAGATTTGTTAAACTTTGTTAAAAATTGCTAGAATAACCTATGTATGTAATGGCAGATTTATTTATCTTGTGACAGTTTTTTTTTTTTGTAATATTTGTTTATGTAGCAACCTAATTGTAACATGTAACGAAGGTTCTATGACAAATTTTAATTAAGGTTCTATGACAGTTTTTTTTTCCGAGTAGCGACATAGTGATTTTGTTTTACTTATTACGACAATTTTTTTAAAAGATTATGACAGATTTATTACTATGTTATGCGACAGATTTGTATAAGGTATAGCGACAGACATTTTTAAGAGTAAGTGTTAAGTTTGCCATATAAAGCCATAAAAAAAAATAGGGTTTTTGGAAGTTACGTCTTGTTTTGTTTTGCCTCTCTTCGTCCTCTTCTCCATCGACTTTTGATAATATTTATTATATTTTTGAACTTAACTTAATATTTATTTATGTATTATGATAAATAAAATTTCCATTTAGTTTATATATTTATTTTTAATATTTTCGTTCATAAATTTAATAGAAAAAGACAAAAATAAACTTTATATTTTGATTATTTCTATATTATGTATTTTTGGATGTTTTACGTAATTTTAATTTTTGAAAAAAAAATTATAGTATAGAAAAATATTATAATTGTTCATTTTATTATGACAGACTTAATATATGTATGACATACTTTTCTATTAATTGCCATTTTTTAGGTTTAGGTTTTTTGGACTTTTTACATAATTATTGTGTCATTCTAGTAATGACCAAAAACAGAGGGTTAATTCAGTTATTTTTGGCCAAATTTGTGTCAAACTAGTTAAATTTCACTTCTATAAATAAATAAATTAAAAAATGATTTTTAATTCATCTTGCGAATTTGCATGCATGTTCGTCTCAATAAGTCCATGAGTCAAAACAGAAAATTCAAATGTTTTTTTTCTTACAACAACATTCATAACTTCTTAGGAATTTTAAGTAATTGTTGTAACTATATTTCTATTTTATTACTTTTACATATTTTTGAGTAAACATGTAAACAGATAACAGAGAAAAATTTGTGTCTCGGCCAAACTTGCCATTGTTACTAAGATAAGAGAATACATTATAGTCCGAAGTGAAGAAATTTAACACTATATATGATGAAAAGATATCTAATATTCAATTTGATAGGAATTGATAATTAAAATACTAATCCTTTTAACTATGAAATTTCATCATCCTTTGAATAAAGATATATAATTTCTTTAAGAAAAGAAAAACCTTTAAGAAAAAGAAATCCTAGATAAATAGGAAAACTAGTGTAATGAATTAACAACAGAATAAGATAAGCCTGAATAATCGATAGTGTAATGTTATAATTCACTAGTTGCGTCAATCAATGTCAATACCAATCCAAAATGTATGTACAATCACATAACAACAACTTCATATTTGTGTATGAGAACATAAACGAGATTGAAACATAACTTGTAGAAGATCAAGACTTTTCTCACATCATGCGAAGATGAATGATTACCAAGCCAATTCCTTATTATTTAGAAACCACTTTATTTTGATAAGAAACAAAAACAAGTTTTATTCTTCCTTTATTTAAGCTTAAATAACATGTAAACTAAACAACGAATGAGTCATGCATGGCTGAGAACATGATTAACCGGTCATTGATCATGTTCAAGCAAACCGGATCCCTTGAATTTCTCATGCATCAGTCCATCGATTCGAGCTGCCATCTCCGGAGTCAAGTAGTTGTGCCAATCTCCGACCTTTCCCTTCCTGAAATAAGCGCTATTCGGATAATAAACCCAAGGAACATCGTGTCTTTTCTGATCCCCTACGTTCACTTCAAGATTCTTCAACGTTTCGAAACTGCAAATACTCACAACTTTCTCAACAACTCCTTTCTTCTCTTCCTCAGATGTGAATCCATAACCCATAAACTGAGCCAATCTCTTCACATACGGCAAAGGATTAGCTTTCATCGTCTCGTACTTGAGGAACAAAACGTTATCTGGATCCTCTTGGTAAGCTTTCCAATACCCTAGTACATGGTCTAGATAAGGACCGTACCCGGAGAAACCTCGACAGAACTTATCAAAACACTCCTCAAGACTGTGTAAAGGGCCACTGTTTGAGTTTTGCTTTTGGAAAAAAGTCCACATGGAGATGAATGTGTCCTTGGGGTCTCTCCATATGTAAACCATCTTACAACCCGATTTCACAACCGATTTAGGTAGTAACTCGTGCGGCATATGAGTGGAAAACAGAGTGTTTCCTTTGTCTTTGAGAACATTTACTTGAGGGAAGTAAGCAAACTCCATCTCAATGAAAGGAACAAGCTCATGAGGGTTACGGTATAGGAGCGGGTTCGAGGAATCCTCCAAGCGAGAACGATTGGCGATGGTGAAAGTTAGAGCTTTGAGCCAAGTGGTACCTGTCTTTGGGTAACTACAAACGAAGAAGTCAGTGGGTCGCGCTTGAAAGAAATCTTGAGCATGAAGGCAACCTTCTAGGAGAGCCTCTATGATCCAGTGGCCACTGTACTCGATCAGTGGAGCTCTCGGAAACCAGCCTTTCACGTGAGGAAACGAGGCGATTAGGTCTTGGTAGCGTTGCCGATTCTTCTCGAACTCTGTTGACTCTGTCTTGGTCTCGTTGTGGTGGCTAAGTGGGTTCATTTGTGATTGCATTTGAGATAGGAAAAGAGGATTTACGTAACTCATTGTTGTGGTCTATGGAAGATGAGCGTTGGTAAGTCCGGAAACAGCTCGGTTTGGGTTTAGTAGTTCATGTAGTGTAACGAGTTTAATCCACGTGTATAAGAAACCATCTTGAAATGCCACCTATCCTTCTTGCTGTCATAATTTCAGCCATTAGATCTTATCTAAAGACATGTATACATTCTTATCTCCACATAGGTTGTAATGAATTAACTATGGACCTAGCTGCTCAAGAATTTACCGTTTCTTCATTTCTATCCTTCTTGTAAAACTATGCATGGCACATACGTGTACGTACGGTCAGTCCGAGTTTCTTATGAATGATTAATCAAATTTTTGGGGTTCTCTTGTTAAGATTATTGAATTCCTAAATCAAAGGAAAGTTGTACCGGTTTCCTCTTGTAATACTGGGTGATATCATCAGTGTAAAGTCAAGCAAATTCGAAGATTTTCATGATAGTTTTGAAGTTGCCTAAACATGATTATTACAAGAAAATGAAGATTTTAACACTCGCTTGAGGTGTCCACGAGAACGGACCGAGACCTTTGCTAGAAGGAGTATATATAGACCGCGGCCGGGCTGTGACCACTTGGGACAAGTGACAGAAAAAAAGAAAGAGCTCAGACATGAGGCCATATTTCATCTGATAGATCAGAAGAATGCGAAGGACCCAACCAACGCTAAAGCCAATTTCATCACAGTTCTACACCAACCATGGCAAGAGTACAATCATACCACTAGACAATCAGTGCTACTTGAACAATTAGTCTTTCTTTTGTTATTTGTTACTTGCAAGTTGTGAGACAAAAAAAACAATAAACTTCAGATGTAAGGTCGAAATAGAATTACCAACACACGACATAAGATTGTACCTTGTTAAGTACTAAATTCATTCATGTTATTGCAGTCATTCTCTAGACAAACAAATATCTCCATTTTATAGAGAGACCTTAACATGTAAAAGTCGACAAAAAGATCCACACAACCAAACCTTAACCTCAGTCTTTGTAGTCTCCGTGCGCAAACTGTTATTATATTAGCATAACGAACAACTGATCAATATAAACTGATGTCAATCAAATTCTGGGATCACTAGCTAGCAAACTATAAACTTAAGTAAACCATGAGATAAATGAGTAAAGAATATGACCCTAATTTGTATTTTACAACTTGATGAGGCAAAAAAAAAAGAGAGCTCAGACCAAGGCCATATATCGTCTGATAATCAGAAGAATGCGAAGGACCCAACCATCGCTGAAGCCAATATCCTCACAGCTCAAATGCACCAGCCGGGAATCGAACCCGGGTCTGTACCGTGGCAGGGTACTATTCTACCACTAGACCACTGGTGCTACTTGTTCAAAATGAACAATTAACAAATTAATATATAGTTATACACTGATGTCTAGCGTAGTGAGAACCAGATTTGGGATTACTAGCTAGCAAACTATAAAACTTATGTAAAGACATGAGAAAAATGAGGAGGAAGAAGATGACCCAAACTAGTAATTACAAAGCAGTCAAGATTTGTATTGTTGTCCCATGGGCAAAAAAAAAAGAAGAGCTCAGACTTAGGCCATATGTCCATCTGTTAAGTCAGAAGAATGCGAAGGACCCAACCAACGCTAAAGCCAATTTCCTCACAGCTCAAATTGCACCAGCCGGGAATCGAACCCGGGTCTGTACCGTGGCAGGGTACTATTCTACCACTAGACCACTGGTGCTACTTGTTTAATGTTCTTTCTTTTATTGAATATTTCTTTAAGCTACTTTGCATATTAATCTGTTGTAAGGTCTTTTAATATTGTAAGCTGTGAAAAACAAAAAAAGAATCAATTTAGTGTTTAATGAAAGCAAAAGCTAGAATGTAAACAAAAAGATCCAAACATTGTTTGTTTGCTAAGAGCCTAAGAGATCCAAAGTAAAGATTAAGAAGACTGTTAACAGATAGCTCACTCTTCATAGTCTCCTTGCACATACTTGCTTTCAGGGTAATACACCGCCACCACTTGGTTTCATTCCTCCATATTCTCTTCCGTTCATCCACGATCTAGCTTTTGATGAGCCATCCACATCCGCATACTCCAAGAAAACCTGCGTTAACATATATATCATTAGAGTCACGTTTTATATTAGAATTTGCTAGACGTTGTCTCGGAATCACAACATTCACCAAGTAAACTGCACACACAACAATGAATCATCAAAGTAAAAAAGCATGAGTATGTGCTAATGGTAGAATGTGATGATCAGAACATACAATATAAAAAAAAAACGAATTACTAACCGAATTGTCCACCTTCTTGTCTTATTATGTCTGCATATTCTTCATCGTATCTAAGATCATCAGCTGTAACCACACAGACAATCTTGGTCGGAGCACCAGCACCTCCCGGCCATGTTGAAAGCTCTCAAGGCCCCGTTTAATGCCATTGTGTTGTTACTAGCCTACTCACCAGATATCTCACCAGACTGACGCTTATGTTCTTACCTTAACCTACGTTCAGATCTCCCTAGTTCAACAAAGCATAGAAGGAACGAGAACATCATCATAACTTATATAGGATTACTAGCAGTTTTATAATTTTGTTTTGTTGATTTTTATTCATATTGTGATATTTTATTATTATTTTTAATTGATTTTCAAAAATTATTATAATTATTTTCTCTTTAATTTTTATTTTTCAATACTCAAATTTGGATTAAAATCATTTGATTCAATTTATGAAATATCATTTTTTTTCTTTTTGATCATGTTATAAACTAATATTTAACTTTCATTTTATTTTTTCTCTTTATAATTTTATATATACAATTACATAAATGTTGTTTTAGTGTACCATAAATTTAAACTTTACTTCAATTCTAAAACTCAGTAACATATTTAAAATATTAAATTATAATCAATTTAAAATGAAAGTTGAATTATATTATTACCACCAATAAAAAATTAAAGTATTGTTTTTCTTATTTTAACATTTCATTTTTTTACATAATTTATTTTTATTTATATAAACTTTTTAGTAATAAAATAAGTAACATAAATATGCACTAAATGAATGTTTTAAATTTATTTTAATGTTCAAACAAAAATGTGGCTTAGGTGGATGCTTAGGTGGCATCATGAGAAGAGAGAAAAAGCTAACTTTATATATATAGATGATTCTTATAAACCGGCAATTAAGATTATCAGCCATTTCAGTAACCGGTTTAAAACCAAACTAAACTGAAACAGATTTACAAATTGATTCAGGTTTTTGTTACGTTGCAAGGCTATTGAAATCCAAATTGTAACCACACAACTATAAATAGAAACGTCAATGTTGTTTGTTGCTGGTAGGAGAAACAGTGATGATAGACAGACAACTCAAAATTGAACTAAACCCGGAAACTCAAAAGTCTTCGAGTACTGTTTCACATTTAGCTTCCAATATCTTCACAGCTTCAGTGAAGAGAACCTCCGGGGGCAATGATCCGGTGGACTCAATGTTAACTGAGAAAACAGAAGACAATAAGAGAACTCAATTACACTTCTTTCATATCATGAATCGCAGAGCAAAAGGAGTGTTTCTTTTCTTTTCTTTCTCTTCTTACATATAAAATGATTCTTGACACTGCCTAGATCCACAAGTTCTAATAAATCATTGTCTCTTTTGCATTCCATACACAATGTGCACTTACGCGGTTGTGCTACAGTTGCCCTTTTCTTACCTGTATTCAACAAGTCAGTCAGTAAGGAATAAAAAAATTCTTAATTTTCCAAGTTCTATAGGTTTCATCAGATTTTGGTGTTAACAAGTGAGAAAGATTGAAGGGAACTTGAGAAGGTTTAATTAACTTCACCTTTGCCCATGTCTTCAATGTCGAAAACGTTTTGTGGGCAGACTTTTACAAGTCGTTCAGCAAGCTCGTCCTCAACTTCCCCACGTAGAACCACCTAAGATAGTAGAAACAAAGGTGTTACACAAAAAAAAGATTAGGATGAGGCAAGAATAAAGGAAAGAGCTATTTCCCACAAAGCATGAAAGATTGAGGTATAAACTCCTCACCTCCGGATGCATTCTATACCAAGCCGTCGCTACTGGGGACCACTTTGCATGTGTTTTTCCAATTCCCTTGACTGCATGAGCTTCGAGTTCGATTTCCTGGGAAAAAAGAGATATCAGAAGATGCTCATGTTTCATCTCTCATTGCAAGTATAGTGCGCTTAGGTGTATATAATGTATAGAAACACTACCTGACCAGGGGCAAGTTTTGCAATCAAGATATCAAGGTCGCTCGGAGCGATAGGATTATCAGCAAATTCGGGTAACGAATCTTGGCTGCAACTAAATGAAGTGTAAGTTTTTGGTTTTGAAGTTGAATTTCCATACTCTCTCAATAACTCACTTCCATTTGGTAACCATTTCAAATCGCTGGTTAGAACTACAACAAAATAGAATGGCATCTTTCATGAGAGACTGAGCTGATAATAAAACAAGAAAATCTTCTGATGCTAACTAAAAGAACAGATATTACCTTTATGACGTGGTCTATTTCTCGGACATTTCACATGGAGTTTGAACACAATGGTGTTCTTTTCATTCGGCTGATCATTTTCTATCACACAGAGATAAAGAATCAAGCTAACAAGAAGACATATTTGCTTACGGAGATGGATCCCATGCCACTGAATATATTCTTACCGGATAAATATTCAAAGAGCCTTGGATCTGCAGCAATTGGAATAAGACCCATCCTGTGAGCAAGAACTTCATCTATAATAACCGATGTGTTGTTTGCTATTAATACTTTTTCAATAGCCATTGTAGGAACCTGCAATAAAGAAAGAAAAACTAAGATTACGACATTCAGGGATTCATCAGAGGTTGCGTGAAAAGTGGACAGACCTCAGCTATAAGGATCCTTCTGAATGCATTGGCAAACGCTGAATCAATACCAATCATATCGAATTGCATATCTCTCTCTGTGAGACTAATCACATCAACTTTGAAATCCTCATAGAAGTTCCCTAGTTGCACATTGTCACCCTCAGCCTACAGAAAATACAAACACAAAATTAAGAACTTCAAAATTCAAACCATCATCACTCGATATCATATTGTTTTCACAAAACAAAAAGACTAAACCCATGGAGTAATCTTGTAAAACTCTAAGACCAAACTCACAAATTCAGCGCTTTTCACAGGAAAAATATGATATTTACTATATATCATGAACACAGCGATGATAAACCTCTAAGACCCAAACCCATAAAGTAACAGCTTTTCACAGGAAAAAGATGAACTTTACTCTAACCCAGAGAAGAACATTGAGAAAAGCTACAAAATTTACAACTAGATGAGCTTATAACCAACGTTACAGAGCATAAGAGACTTTAATTTCGAACCAGAATAGTTCGTTCTTACATTAGCAGAAGCGTTGTTTTTAGAGACGACGCGGGCTTGCTGGTGTTTCAGATGCGGAGGAAGTCCGGCAGGGACGTCGGGGAGATCGTTAATGTTGAAATTCTTGGCGAATCTCTTCTCTTCTTTAGTTACCATCCTTGTCGTCTAGGTCTACAAACAAAACACTAGGGTTTTATTAGCTTCCAAATTGAGACAGAGAAGTTAAGGGTTTTACAAAGGAAACCACAAGGTATACGAAAGCAGTAGTTTTGGATTAAAAGAGAGAAGTTGAAGAAGCTTACCGGTGGCTGAGAGATTGAGTGATTTTGGGAGAAAGAAAGAGAGTAGGCGGCGGCGAGGAGATGACAACAAACGGCGAAGGGTTTTGAAAATAGCCGCCGTGTTTATTACAACCCCTTCTTCGGTTTGGTTCAAATGTTGTTGGAAACTCAATACCGAACAATTTTTATTTTGGAAAATTTTCATAAAACACACACCAATTATTTCTCTATTTTCACCAAAATACTGAAACTTTTTAAGCATCCAAATAAGTCCCTGTATTACTTTTAATTTTGTCATGACCTCATCTCTTTTTGGTATGAGATTTATTAAGTGGCATCTTTATTCGCTTGTAGCAACGAAAGAAATGCTTAAGGAGTATTATTGGTTTATTGATTCGTAAATCCACATAAAATTTGTAAATTTTTATTAATTATAAAATCAAAATACATGGATTTTAAAACAAAAGAATTTTTGACTATTAATAAATTAAATATTGATTTTAGAAAAGTATTTAAAATCATATCACCAATAACATAATGATTCAATTTATTAACAATCAAAATTATTTTTATTTAGTTGAATAACAGAAATGACTTTTTACAAATTAATAATTAATAGCATCAACTTTTAAAAGACTTTGATAAAATCTTGATAAATGGTAAAAGATAAGTCACTAAAACACTATATAAATTAATAAATAATATATCAATAATACTTTTCCTTTTCAAAAAATAAATGAAATTTATAATTTATAATAATTACTAACTCTAAAGACGATAAAAAAATACGAGATTGATTTTGTATAATATTTTTCCCGTTTCTGTAACGAATGAATAAACGAGGGGTCTATTTGTAAATTTAAAATAAAATGAGTTCACAGTTTTTTTTTCTGTCTGTTGTTCCCAATGCAAATCAAAACAACATCAAACAGCTGAAAACGTCTCTGAAACTCCCGAGATCCAATTCCAATCGAAGAAGATTAAATAGCAAAAGAAAGCAATCGAGGGTCTACTTGTCTTGTCTTGTCGACTCGATTCGTACACTTTAATCTGAAGCTTCTTCGTGTTTTGTCTTTACAATGGCGGGTTTTATCAATCTTGAGGATTCCCCAATGTTTCAAAAACAGGTACTTTATGTTCCATTGTGGATCCAATAAAGTTTTGGGATTTGAATTTGATCGTCTTACTTTTATTCTCTGGTTGGTTATTTTGGTTGATTGGATTAGGTTTACTCCTTGGAAGGGACAACTGATGAGCTAAAAGATCGTTGTCAGAAGTTATTCAAAGGTGTTAAGAAGTTCATGTAAGAATAAAATCTACCTGCTTATATTTTTTTGGTTGTTTTCGTTTTTGTCGTAATGTCTTTATCATCTTTCTCTGCTATATAACATTTGTCTTATTAACCAGTCTATCTCTTCAACTGTTTGACCATATAAGGCTTAAGCTTTTTTTCTTGAACTTTTGTACCATTTTTCCGTAAAATGCAAGTGATATGCGTTAAGTTAAATGGAAGCTTATCAAATCTTGATTGGAATGCATTGTTTATTTTTTATTTTGGTCATAGGGGAACTTTGGGAGAGGCAGCTACTGGAGTCAGTGCCTTTGCAGATTCTCTGGAAGAGTTTGGTGCTGGACATGATGATCCTGTCAGTGTTTCAATTGGAGGTTGTGGATTTACTTTTCAATTTATTTGGTTCCCCGTATTAGGTAGATTACTTAGTTTTAGGTGCGATGAAGTATGATACATTCTCCGCCGAGGAGATTGTGGGCCTTTTGGTTGATATAAAAAAACTATGTTGCATTCTATGTTCACCTTGTCCCTTTGATTTCACATATAGCCTTCTGGATAATTATGTATGAACTCTAAGTCCATGAGTTCTAGTTTCCTACTCTTTTTTTTTCTTATGATATGGTTGGCTAAACATAGAAGAATTCTAAGAAAATCTTGAAGTTCTTATTTCTGATTCTATTTTGTTGTTATACTTCTGAGTGGCACCAGGTCCAGTAATATCTAAATTTATAAATACACTTCGGGAGCTCTCCTCTTATAAAGAGTTTCTTCGCTCACAGGTAACTCCCATCGCATCTTGTGAATACACATAAATATCAGTCAACAGTCAAGTCCTGAGTGGTGTGTCATTATTGGTAGCTATATATTTGTAATTTGGTCGCTAAAATTTGTGTAGGTCGTAATTGTCTTGTTTTGTTCATACATTCAAATGTTTGGTAGAGACTTATTTTAGAGTTAGGTAATCAACAATACTGTGTCAAAAAAGAGGAGAGATGCAAAAACTTAATGAACAGAAATCTAAATTGTATTGTGAGTTTAAAATCCAAAATTCAATTAATTGCTTCAAAGTTGTTGCCCTTCACTGCATCATTTATAGAATTGTTGTGTTTTTGTAGGTGGAGCATCTATTACTTGAGAGGCTGACAGACTTTATGTCTGTTGATCTACAAGAAGCAAAGGTAACTTTTTTTGTGCTGCAAGTTTTTATTGTTTTCTACTTTTTTTTATGTACTGTGAAGTGTAGATTGTGATTGTCAAGTATTATAGACTCGATATTGATCAATAAACAGAAGATAAGTTTTTGATATTTTGAATTCATCTGTTGACAAGTTCTTGACGTGATAAAAAAATATTCCTCCCGTTTGGCGTATTCTTATTATCCTTTTCTTGACGTGAATCATTTTAGAATAACGAGTATATTCATCGCTCTATTGATCTATAACATCTGTTTTCAAAAACTCAAATTACTTAACAATTTTCTACCTTTTCAGGAGTCTCGGCGACGTTTCGATAAAGCTGTCCATTCTTACGATCAGGTAATTGAATAGAGTCTAGAGCTTCACTTACCTATTATTGTGCATGGAGAGGTATGCCTTATTTATCTCTTATAAATTATGTTATTGGTGTCACTACGATTAGAACTAAGTTTATTTGTTAGTCTCACTAATATGGAAAATGGCTGGTGTCCGGTCATTTAAAAAGAGATTATATGGAAGTTTATTTGTTTATGCGAAACAAGTTTACAAAAAAAAAATGGTGCAAGTTTTCTTTTCATCTTCTGCATAGTACAAAAGAGTTTTCAAATATGGGAGTCTGACAAAGTGACAAGCATCGTAGTTGATGCATAATCTAATAAAGATACAACGTTGTGCATGGTAACCTTAATCTAAAGCTATGAAATGAATTTTCTTATTCATTTGAAGGCACGTGAAAAGTTTGTGTCGCTAAAGAAGAATACAAGAGGAGACATTGTTGCTGAGTTGGAAGAGGTATTGACACTGTAATTCATATATATATATATAATATTCAAGAAAAAATCGCATGTAGTGATGTGTGTACATGTTTTATGTTATATATTTCGGATTCTAATGAATTTGTAGTGTCATATCTACAGGATCTGGAGAACTCGAAGTCAGCATTTGAGAAAAGCCGTTTCAATCTAGTACGCTAAGTCTACAAAAAGAAGCTACTACTACTGTTGCCTTTTGACCTTTCTGCGTCTAAATGGTTTTATCTTTGGTTTAAGGAGTGCAGGTAAACTCATTGATGACCATTGAAGCGAAAAAGAAGTACGAGTTCTTGGAATCTATAAGTGCTATTATGGATTCCCATTTGAGATATTTTAAGCTTGTAGGTTTCTTCTTATTTTGCATTTAGAGATGTCACCAAGTGTGACCAAGTAAGGGCAACATCTGTGCCACGATGTATTCCTTATGTGGTCTCTTTGTGCTCCAGGGGTATGATCTCTTGAGTCAATTGGCGCCTTATATCCATCAGGTATACAACCTTAATGTCAACTTGATTCCAATAGTGAAAATAAGGAGAACAAGTTTGATCATTAAATAGTTCTCTCTGTTTCCTAGTATGATTATTTTACATAGCTACTTGCTACTTTTCTTCTTACAGGTATTGACATATGCACAACAATCAAAAGAACAGTCTAAGATTGAACAAGATCGATTTGCAAGACGCATTCAAGAATTCAGGACTCAGTCTGAATTAGACAGCCAACAGGCCTCTGCTCAAGCAGATCCCTCCATTGTTGATGGAAACCATGTTTATAGAGCTACCCCGCGTAAAACCGTAGAAGCAAATTCAATTTCAACAGCGGATAAGGAAGTAAGGGTCTCCAACTCCCTCTTGTAGTAGTCAAGTGCAAACCATAGTTTTCACTAATTGTTCCAATGGTTCTCTGGTAAAAAAGTTGGCTAAGTCTTGTCTTCCCACTGTAAAATGAGTAAAAGTGGCATAGTATGTCCAAAGACTTAACATTCGCTGTTTGGGGATATAGCCATATTTCTGTACAGGATCTTGCTTGCATACTGCTGTTTTCTAAGTGGCACGATTAACCCAGCTCTCATATAGTCATATGTATACTTATAAAGTTAAAGCAATAGTGTCAATCTCTGAGTTGGCATTCTACACAGACACTGAGATTTAAGATGACTAAATAGGTGACAATTCATACGCATCAATTGCTTCAATTTTCATACAGGCTAATTGTGTCGTCTTATCTCTTCTGTACTAATGCAGGTAATTAAACAGGGGTATCTATTAAAGCGATCAGCTAGTTTGAGAGCTGATTGGAAAAGAAGGTTTTTTGTACTTGACAATCATGGATCTCTATACTATTACAGAAACACCGGTAATAAATCAGCGGTATGTGTGCCAAACTGTTTTTTACTGTCTCGTTTCCATGAGATAGATCCATAAGTTCTTTCGAACTTGATTATAGTTCTAGATGCCAGTGTCCAGTTTCTTACATTTTCCTTGGTCTCGTTATCCCTTGAAACGGTAAATGACTTCATGATGTTAGAATAAAACAAGAAAAGGTCAATGAGAACTTAATCTTTCAATTGATATAGAATTGCTTGATCAACCTTAACTCTATACCTCTTGTGGTGAAAGGTGTCCAAACGTTACAGTGAACTTAAAACTAATGATGTAAGATTATATTTTCTGAATGTCAGACATTTCAGTGTCAGTGGACTTGTATCCAAAACATTGCAGTTGCTATCAATTAATAGGAAGCCTCTCAGTTGATCATTTATCCATCCAGTATGTAATGTTTCCCTAGTTTGACACAGCTAGGAACGTTGGTAGATACGAATTATAGATCTACCTGGCACTTTCTCATGATTTGGTCTGTGTCTGTTAAACAAGTCTTTCTCACCTCAGTTTTTATCCATCTAATCATCCTTTTCTCTTTATAGGGGTCTCAGCATTACTACAGTGGTTTAAGTGAGCACAACAGCGGCGTCTTTGGGAGATTTCGTTCTAGACACAATCGATCAGCTTCGCAGGGAAGCCTAGATTGCAATATGATCGATCTCCGCACATCACTGATAAAATTGGACGCAGAGGACACAAATCTTCGTCTCTGTTTTAGAATTATTTCTCCTCAAAAGACTTACACATTACAGGTACTGAATATACGAGGGAGCAACATATAGCTTCAGGAGTCTAACACAAATTATGTCTCAATGCTATCAGGCTGAAAATGGAGCTGATAGGATGGAGTGGGTCAATAAGATCACAGCAGCTATAGCAACACGTCTGAATTCTCATTTTCTGCAACAGGTTTACACAATATGAGTTTCAGAGTTTCTCTTAATCTCTAGCTTAGAATATGAGAGTTAAGATTTCGTGCTTATATATATATATTCTATTATCTCCTGTAGTCTCCAGGAAGATACTTGGATAAAAACTATACTAGTTCTGGTCCTGCTAATGATGAACTCACCCTGGATCAAAAACAACATTGTAATCAAAGACTTAATATGGGGGATGACGTCCTTACAATACTCAGAGGAATCCCTGGAAATAACAAATGTGCAGAATGCAACTCACCTGACCCCGATTGGGCATCATTGAATCTTGGAGTTTTGATTTGCATCGAATGCTCTGGTGTTCACCGGAATCTTGGCGTTCATATATCCAAGGTAATTTGCTTCTTTTGATACGATATTACATACCTTCTGTTCAATGTCTTTGAGATTGTATGAGCTAGTTTAATTTGTATAGCAGAATTTGCAGTGCTCAATATGATGTTTGAAGTGTTTATATACCATGCTGAAGTGAACTTTTGTGTATGAGCCATCAGCTTTTTCCCCTGGTGCTTAGATGTTTAAGCTAATGCCAAAGAATGTATGCAGGTGAGATCACTCACATTGGATGTGAAAGTGTGGGAACCTACAATCTTGGACTTATTTCGGAACTTAGGCAATGCTTATTGTAATTCGGTTTGGGAGGAGCTGCTTCACCTAGACGATGACGGGTATGAAATCTCAAAGGAAAACTAGATTGTTTGTATTTTGAAGTAAAAAACATTACTTGAATCAAAATCATTTGTTCATCTTTTATTACAAGCTTCTATTTTTACAAGTGTGCCAAAACATAGGATTGATAAATTTATTTACCTTCCTATCTTCTGTTGAATATTTTCAGTGAAAAGGGATCAACAGACACACTTGCAGCAGTTCCAAAACCATCTTCTGAAGATTCTTTTACTCTGAAGGAGAAATACATTCACGGAAAGGTATGAGAGATTTAGCTCAAAATTTCCACATACATACACCTCAGATTCATGTGACTTGGTGCATATATCATCCGAATAAGCATATGCTTTTGAATAGAAAAGGCGTATTATACTAAACCTGATAATGTTTATGCCTAACCAAGTACCTGGAGAAAGTCCTGGTTGTCAAAGATGAAAGGGAAGCAAACTCTACTGCCTCAAGTAGAATATGGGAAGCGGTTCAAAGCAAGAACATAAGAGACATCTACCGACTCATTGTAACAGCAGATGAGAATATCATCAATACCAAGTTCGATGATATTACTGACCTTGATGCATATCACCATCACCATGTTGATGCACCAGATGAAGCAAAGAGAAGGCACGACCCAAATGCGTGTCAAAGAATCAAGGATTCGAACGAAGCAAGAAACTGTCTTCAAGGCTGTTCGCTGTTGCATGTGGCATGTCAAAGCGGTGACCCAATCTTGCTTGAACTGTTGTTGCAGTTCGGGGCTGACATAAACATGAAAGATTATCACGGAAGAACTCCGTTACACCATTGCATCGCATCAGGAAACAACACATTTGCAAAGGTTTTACTAAGAAGGTAACATACTAACTAATCAAGTACCTGTTTTCTCACCTCATTAGGAACTTTTTGCTTTAATACTACTGTACCTGTCTCTCTTCTTATAATTTGACAGAGGTGCTCGTCCATCAATAGAGGATGGTGGAGGATTAAGTGTATTGGAAAGAGCAATGGAAATGGGAGCCATAACTGATGAAGAGCTTTTTCTTCTATTAGCAGAGTGTCAGTAATAGACCAATACATGTTGTTCTGTTCAGACAAGAGAGCTGATTTGATTGCTAAGCAAAAGATTACTCGACGAATGCTCTTTGGTCGTGTCAATGTAACTTGTATTATTGTAGTATTTATATAATAATGAAATTAACCTAATAATAAATAAATAAAAAGAACACAACAACAATGGAAATCACACTTGGAAAAGTTAATAATGTTCACTAGCTTCAGCGAATGTGTTTCTAGAAATGTTGATCAAACTGGGAATATAGACTTGGGACTGAAACCAACCTGACACTCCATCTATCTTAATCTTTTTGAACGTACCTTCTTCCCTCACAACAAAGACCCAAGCATTTTCAGAATGCAGGCAATGACAACACAGAACCAATCTCTTTCCATAGATGTTATGATCCACGAAGTAACTTTTAGACTTGTCATCAAGTACCAAGGGCATTTTAGGTCGTCTTGGGACAGTCATGAACTTAATCCACACAACATTGTCTCCATCATCACCGTTGCCAATTTTGTTCTGTGTCACCCAAATCCTAATCTCTCTTGTAATTGTGTGTTGTTGCACCACTGCAAACCTATCCCCCTTGTAAATGGAGAGGGCACGAATATAGGAATTCGTTCTTTTCCCTCTACACGGTAGAATGCAAAAAATCTTTACCATCTCTTTCGAAAAATCGAACATTTTGATGAAACACTCGCCAGTCTCGGGATACTTATCAACTGTCCAGTAAAAATTTCCATTCAGAGAGACACTACTAGTCGAGTCGTATGATGCGAACACATTGCCGCCAATACTGGCACAATCAAGATGAGTAATATCCCACGTATTAGTTGCAAATTTCAAGACTGCAACTTTACGGATCAAATCAGTACCGAACCTTCCAATAAGCTTGTAACTCTTTTCAGGGTTTCCACCATCGTGACCCATTCTTTTGTCACATATCTCATCACCCATGGGTGATGAAATCCAGTAAGTTTGTCTCAGCAACGGGTTCCAAACAAAGCATCTTTCTTTTGAGCCTTTCATCAACACGTAACCATCGCAGAACCCACTAATATCATAACGGGCTAGGCTTGAATCAAAGCTTGGATCAAAGCGTGAATCAAAGCGTAAATCAGTGACTTTTATAGTTGGGTTGTCGTTGAGATCGACGCTTAACGAATAGATATGGGAATGTGTCTTCAACATGAATTCTTGGTGGCTGAAAGCGAATTTTCTGTTGACGAATATCTTAGTGTTGAAAAGATTGTTCCACTCTTTGCAAACGGCTCTGAAGCGAACGAGAGATAGATAAGGAACTAGAAAGAGTATTTCTTCTTCCATATCTGGTGGAAGCTTTCTCGGTTCCACCATTAGGGTTTTCTTTTCCATGGCAAGATCAACTATTAGGGTTTTCTTTTTCTTTTTCATGGTAAGAACAATTAGGGTTTTCTTTGTGAAGGAAATAGGGGACTAATAAATTGTAGGACAAAAGTTTAATGCATTCGACCAATATGATCTGTGTATATAAATTATATATCAAACCGACGTTTAGGGTCTACCGACGTTACCATAATCAGCAAATATTAGTTTTGTCAAGTTTCCATCTTTAAAACGACAGTAACTTGGGGTGATTTGGGCTCCCGAACCTGTTTGGTTAAAGTCTTGATCTTGATCGATGATAGGTTTGTTATTCATCTTTGTCTCGTGGCTCATGTGTACAGAGCTCACCGTTGGCGGTAACGTTTATCAATATCAGTTAGACCATGATATTTGTAATATATCAATACCTGTTGTTCAGACAAGAGAGCCGATTGATGATTGATTGCTAAGCAATAGATTATTTGACGAATGCTCTTTGGTCGTGTCATTGTAACTTGTACTATAAGACGAGAGCTTTTTTAAGCATCCGGTGGTGCATATAACATAAAATATATTTCATGCAGTTTGGTTCAGTTTGATCTTTATAATAATGAATTATATTTAACCTAAAGGTTCAAATAAATCAATAAAAACAAGAACGTACGCAACAATGGAAATCAAACTTGTAAAAGTTCATCATGTTCACTATCTTCGGCGAATGTCGAAATGGTGATCAAACTGGGAATATAGACTTCGGACTGAAACCGACATGACACTCCATCTATCTTAATCTTTTTGCACATATCTCCCCTAACAACATAGACCCAAGCTTGTTTAGGTCTCTTGCTATAACAACACAGAACGAAGCTCTTTCCATAGATGTTATGATCCACGAAGTAACTTACAGACATGTGATCAAGTACCAAGGGGAAGTTAGGTCTCGAGACATTCATGAACTTAATCCACACCACATTGTCTCCATCATCCCCGTTGCCAATTCTCTTCTCTGTCACCCAAATCTTAATCTCTCTTGTACTTATGCGTTGTTGCAACACTGCAAACCTATCACCCTTGTAATTCGACAGGGCACGAGTATATGAAGAACTTTTTTTCCCCTTACACGGTAGAATGCAAAAGATCTTTATTATATCTTTTGAAAAATCGAGATATCTCTGCCACATATCTGCTCATTGACATAAAACCCTTTTTTACGGTAAGAATTAGGGCTTTCTTTGTAAAGGAAGCAGGGAAATAAAATGTAGTAAAAATTATTGCATTCGTCTTATATGATTTATTTATATAATAAAATTATAAATATATCAAACCGACGTTACCTACCATGTTCACTAACTTTTTTTTTTTTTTTTTTCCCTTAACTTGTTCAGTCCAAAAGACTGGTTTTTATTGTTTTTTTGTGAAATCCAAAAGCAATAATAGAAATAGAAATTAATTTATCATATGCTCAATCCCAAAGATATAAAACTAGCATCTTGTTGACCTGGCCCTGTGACCGACGAAGCCGAGATCTCCTCGGCAGCTGCCACTAGAGGATGAGTTGGTGGTAAACTGAAACGAGAGTCTTGAATGAGAAAATTGCGACAGAGTCTCTTGCAGTTCACGCAAAGCACAAACCTCATATGCGGCTCCACGGTCGTGACCTGGTTATTGGTACAATGAGTTACTCGGTCACAATTATAGCAGAAATGGTGTTCATTTTGACCACAGTAAACGACAATGTCTGAAGTTACGCATGATTCACACAGCTTTGCAAACATACATCTCTCGCAATTGTTATGCCCTTGTCTTCTCTGGATGTTTACTACTCGAGGCAGCGTACGCTCGATGCGGATCATAATCGGGGTTATGGAGATGTAGAAGAGCAGGATTGACGACTTCATAGCGATGGACATTGGGAACGCAATTGTAATCTTGTGAATAACAAGATTGTTAAAGAACGAGTTTGTGGTCGAAGCATAAGACTAAACCTGGATTGACACAGCATTTTTCGCAAAGTTGGTAACGTATGTGTCTTGCATTAGGTCCACGATGTCGCATGCAGTCACATCCAATGCACAGGTTAGTCGCTTCTGCATAACAATGGGTCGCGGCTGGGCTACGTCGGCATGTGTGGCACATTTGTTCCATAGTTCCTAAAAAGTTATTCATAAGGTTATCAAACAAGAAGGAGAGTAGGAAGCAAACGTTTTTATTTAATTTTGTGGAACAATCCTTTTGTTTCTTCTGTTTATATACATGTTTGTTTTGCTAACAGATTAGAGAAATCTTTGCAAGATATTGGTTTGAGTTACAGTAAAACCTCTGTAAATTAATAATGTTAGAAAACTTTTTTTTAATAATGTTGGTACCATGAAAATCTATTAATTTATAGAGGTATCGATAATTAATAGAGAGATTTTCCTAATTTGGAAAGTTTTTTCAAAAAAATAATTAAAAATAAGATTTAATCATGATAATTAGTATTTTATATAATCAATTACAAAGAAAATAATAATTATTATGTCTTGAAAGAGAATGCTAACTATTTTTGATATAGTAAAATATTAGAAATAAATTCTAACAAAAATTAATGTGTCTATATATACATATATTTTAAAAATTTTACCTAATTATTAATTTATAATATTGTTGGAACCATATATTTACAAAGAATTTTCAAAAAATTATTATCTTATTATTTTATCGAATTATGTCTAAAATTACACTGGTCCCAACTTGGGACCGGAGAAATTTATTAATTTATAAAGATTATTAATTTATCGAGTATTAATTTATAGAGGTTTTACTGTAGTTTTGTCTTTGACCTTTTATTTTCTGCTTAATTTGATATTTAGTTATATATTTCTTCTCACTTCTCAGCTTTTATTCAATTCAAACGATTGGTGAGTTTTATTTCTTTTTTTTTTTTAATTCCAAAAGCAAGCATACATGCAAGTAAAACTAGATTCCAACTAAAATCCTAAAGCAAAGGACATAGATACTATATATTAAAGATAAACGCTTAAGAAAAATTATTATCCTTGTTAGGCTGTTAGCTAAAATGTGGGATTAATTAAGTTCTAGGTATACACATACACCAATTAGTATTGTGTTTATACTTAAGGTTAGCTAAAAGCAACGGTCTTCAGTCTTCTCCATACTTTATAGGCCACTTTTAATCTTTTTTTTTTTTTTACCACTCATCAATCATTTCAACTTTTGACAATTCGTCAAAATATCCCCAACGGTAAAACTTTACCCTCTCTCTCTCTCTCTCTCTTTGCCTTACATTATTGTCATATCCACTTGTTGCAAAATTCCACAATCACAAAAGAATCATTCGATTCTCTCCTCTGCCATCTTCAATTCACCAAAAAAAAACATGGAAGCTCTAATTCACCACTTCACTCTCCTCTCCGATCAAGCCCTTGTCGACAAAACATTCGACCCTTCAAGAATCGAAGACCTCATGCGTCTCTTCGAAGTCGATTCTTACAAAGCTTGGGCAGCTTTGGAATCCGAGCAAGAACAAGAACTCCAAGAAGCTGAAGAATCTTTATATGAAGCTGAACTCGAACTCGATCGGTATAAAAAAAGACTCTTCTCCCTCCTTCTAGCTAATTTCAACTTTTCATAGATCTGGAGAGATGTGAATATTTTTTGTATGGTGTTTATTTTTATAGGGATATGGAGTGGGGAATGGAGGAGTATAGGAGAACGTTGGAGGAGATGGAGAGGATGGAGGCAGCTGAGCTTAAAGAGCTTGAGGAGAAAGCTGAGACTGCTAGGAGAAGTGGGAATTTATTGGAGAAAGCGGCTACTATAGCGGCCAAACGGCATATTGCGGCGGCCATGGGATCAGCCGCCGCGTCCATGAGGTCTGCTTGGAAGACTGCTGCCGGGAATAAGGTTCATCCATCCTAATGATGAATATGAGAAGATGACACGACGTCACATGACGATGATAAAATCAAGAAGGCATTGGTCCCTATGTTTATTAGGATTTATTAGGTGGAGAACATTCTCATAAATAAATTTATGCTTTGATAACTCTTAAATATAATAATTATGAATTTTAGATAGTTTATGAACTTGTAATTTGTAAACAATATATATTTATTTAGATCGTTCTATATCATTTTATACACCTGATCTTCAAGCTGATCAAGACAATGATGAATAAAAAGCAGAAACATCGGTTTAAGATTGACAATTTCAAGAAAGCCTGTTTCAAAAAATAAAAAAGATTGACAATTTCGGTGGAAGGTCATTTGAGAATATAGTTGCGACACTGAGTGAAGCAATGTAGGAAAAAAAACTAAACTAGACAAATAAAATTGTTTTTGAAACAACTGAAGCACTTTGGTTTTAAAGGGTCCTCGTAAAGTAGCACTTTGGTCTACTTGTAATTAAACCCAATCCATTTACAAATAATGAGTATCGTCGGAATTAAACGTACTGTATATGAATGAGAGAATAGACCAAACGTAAGAAATAATCTTATACTTTTCCATAATCAGATTCAGACCCTTGATTTTTTTATTTTTTTTTACAAAAACTTGTATGAGGAGAAGTATAAGAAGATACTTATCAAAAGATCACACATCACCACCAAACCAATTATGACCAACCATTGTATGTGGTCTCTTAAATCAATCTTATGTAACTTTGTGAATAAAAATAAATGGCAAATGATTCATAATGTTAAAGATTATAGCTCTTATTTAAGAGCTAATTTTAAGAGACCATCATTAATGATGCTCTAAGTACGTTTTAACAAAAATGCAATTGACCGGGGAGTGAATTTTGTTAGGATTGCTTTGGTGTACCTTTAAACCCAAGTTACCATATATATAAAATGATACGAGAAAGAAAGAAAATATTATGTTGTTTGTCCATAAGCAAGAAACAGACTAGGGTTACGGTCCTTGCGGTTCCGGCATACGAAACAAGATTTGTTTGTGTAAGCAAGAAATTAGTTCGAAGGAAAAAATAAAATAAAATAAAAGATTTTTCTTTGGGTAATATTTGGAAAAATCAGGTTATGGAAAGATTATGAATAAGGAATAATAAAGATCCATAATGGAACACACAAATAAAAGTAAAAAAGGAATGATGAGAAGAGAGAGTCGTATAAAACTAATTAAGAGAGTAAAGATTTTGCAAACAAATCTCTTTGCTTTGTCTTGCTTGTGTAATTCGCTTTCGTTCTTGTGATTGTTTCAACATGGGAGGCAAAAAACATAAGATCAATATTTCTGAAATCCAAAACAAGAACGCCAAAACAGTTGCTTTCACCAAACGCAGAAACGGTCTCTACCGTAAAGCTTCGGAGCTTTGTCTTCTCTCTCCCGACTCTCAAATCGCGATCTTAGCCACTCCTGTCTCTTCAAACTCTCACGCTTCTTTCTACTCTTTTGGCCATTCCTCTGTCGACCAGGTTGTCTCCTCTCTGCTCTACGACCAGCCTCCAGTACTTCCGGCGAACCAAGAGAAGAGATCAGGGTTAGGGTTTTGGTGGGAAGACAAAGGTTTTGACATGTCGGAGAACGTGGACGAGTTGAAAGAGGCGGTTGATGCGGTTTCAAGGATGTTGAACAGTGCGAGAGCCCGGTTAGATGGTGTCGTGAAGAGCAATCAACGAGATGGGAGGTTAGTGATTCATCAGGAGGATGAGGAAGAGATTCTTCAGCTTCGTAGCGAAGAGACAACGACGAATCAAGGGGACACTTCTGGCTCTGCAAGTAATCATTTGGTGAGCGAGGACGATACTTTATATTTAGATGATGATTTGTTTAGTGATTTCAATATTGATCCATTGATTTGATCAATATGTCCGGTTTAGTTTAATATTTAGCTAACCTAGGGGTGCATTCATTCTTTTGATATTCTACTATTTGGTTCTTTGATTAAGGAGTAATTGTACTACCAAATCCAATTAAAGAACCAACAGTTATGTTCAAATTGTCAAGGAAGTGTTTTTTTATTGCCTTGTTCAATTCATGCTAATGGTTAGAATGCTACAACTTTAGATCTTCCCAACCAATAAGTTGGATCAGAATCTTGTAAAGATAACCTCAAGAAAAGAGGAGTAGTTCGCTTTTCATTAAGCATATTATCAAGTCGTAGCGACTCTAAATCTTGAAGGAGACCGTATTTTTCTTGGTACGCAAGAATCCATCGCTGGTTTTGAGGATGCATATGTAGATTTTGTTTCAAGAGTCTCTAATACACATGATGTGTAACACATCTACCTTTGTAGTTTTGGAATCAGCCAAGGTTTAAAAGGATTCTCAGGAAAGTATCATATAATATTTTACCTTTTTTTCTATACAATCAATTATTGTAAACGGTGTCAATTTATTTCAAAAATGGTTATTAGTGTACATATCTATCCTCAACCCGACTCAGCAGTAGTAGCTTAGTGGTGAGGCACAGTAAGAGAGTGACACAAATCTACTCATGACAATAGTACACAAAAACTGTTTTAAAGTATAAGATCCTAAATGTTAGTATACATATAAATAAGAACGTTACGAGCCTAATCCCCTCTGGGGTACTTTATGGCTTATGAACAGGAAAGAATATTATCGACCGTGTCAAATCATGAACCATAATGATCTGTTTATCTCTCTATGCTTTTTCTGGGAATACCTTAAGGAGGAAATCGATGAATCGTTTAGAGTATAGTGAAGGCTCGATGGCTGAAATTGTCATCGGATCATATTTCATAGATTTGCAAGTATGTTCCACTTTCTTCTTCATGTTGTACTCTTGGAGGATGTCAATGATGCCCATGTACACAACCACATCGTATACTTCAAAGAGCTCGACTGTTCCTGACTCCTCCTTGTCTTGACCGAGTTTGTGGTGGGCTTGAGCTGGCATGTTCACTCCTAACTGCACCCGGAGCCTGAATATAATTCCAAAGGTATGGTTGGGGACAATTATAAACTGGAAATAAGGTTTTTGTACTGTGATCATGTGGAGTGAAGTTAGGTTTTGGCAGGACGCGACTAACCTTGCAGTTCCAGGTAGAATAAGATCAACTTCTTGCTCGCCAACAGAGAATGCTCGTAGTGTGCTACCTCTGATGTGAGGACCCGGGGCGGTATTAACGAAATTGGGTTCGTGAGTAACCATTAATAGTCCTTTCGGAGGATTGGAGGGTTCACGGGGCAAACTGACTGACGAAACACAAAACAAAAACTGTAAGAAAACAGAAATCCATGACATGTAGTATATAGTATACAAAGACTATCCATGTGTGAGGATAAGAACTGTACCATATACTGTGTAGTAAGAAACTAATCACCTGATTTATCTAAGCAAGTGAATGAATATTCTCTCTAAACTAAAAATATATAGTCTCTTAAAGAACTGAGGCCTACCGTCAACAGAAGCAACGCTATCACTTTCTTCATCTGACATTTCATTGGGCGGATCCAGCATTTCAGTACGTGGATCGGGAGCTCTAAAATGTAATCCCAAGAGAAGACTGTAATCAAGGATTTGGAGAGATTCCAAGAATGAACAGTCTAAAATAATTTGCCTGCCATGTGGGAAACAATGAGGTTCCACAAACAATCAGACAGACCCAATTGTCCTTAGGATTGCAATCATGATACTATGTGTATAAGAATGTAAAAATAATGAAAAAATCCAAGTTAAAGCAAATGAAACATCATACAAAAACTTCAAAGCAAAACTAAACTTAAAGCCAGGGAAAAAAGAGCAAACATCTCATTTCCAAATTTCTAATAGTATGTGTGGAGACAGCGGTGACAGTAAGACATTTGGCATAACCCTCTATTCTGCAAGTAATTTTCCTATCTTCTTAATTATCTAAATAAAAGTGCATACAAATTCACAGGACATAGCTGCTTTTTCCCTTTTGAAGGATTCTGTTATATCTAGGTACAGAGAAGTTATTAAGTGCTTCAGTTCTCTGAATACTAGTTAGTTCACTAGGCTATCAGTCAGGTCTTGCAGAGATGGGTTTAATAAGTTAAGCAACAATGAGAAATTATTCCCCTGAAAAAATACATATACAATTTCTAGATAAGATTTCACAAAAAAACCATAAATTTCCATAAATACAATGGCACATAAAACGTAGAGGTTCCGTAGCAAGTATATGACTAATATATCATTCAACTGACATGTATCACTAAGGAAAGGGTTAAGAAGAAAATGAGTAGAGAACTTACTTGAAGAGAGCCTCTCGCAGCAGCTTGTCCATATGAAATTCATAAGCCAGATCAAGATCTTTCATGGTAGTCTTTTCTGCAATTTTATTCTTTTCTGTATATCTCCCTTGAGTTGAGCCCTTTAGGTCATAGCGGCGATGAATCTTCAATTCTGTGCAAAACATATTCCCCATGACCACAAATCGTACCTGTCGGAGAAACACAAAGCTCATGCTAAAGAGAAATGAAATATAATGGAATTAACATATAGAAGGGATCAGACTAGTTATCACCTTTTTACCCCACTTGAGTTTTATCCTGTGAACTCCAAAAAATTTCGTTATGAGCGTATTTTCATAGTCTCCTACATGTTCATAGTACCTAGGCAACATCCTGAGCAGAACCTATAAGAAAATGAGATGCTCTCAGTCATACACATGTATATATACCCCTGAGATGTGTCTACCTTATAATTTAAAGATTATATAATTAACTAAGAAAATACATACAAGGAAAGACAGGCTAGACTATATGTAGGTCACATGCATCCTAAAAGTGCAACAAAAGAAATCAAAAGGAGCACGAATCAGCTAACTTAACCGAAAATCAAGAAGGGTTTTACAATACCCCCAAACCACTACTATGCTTAACAACAAGCAAGAAAAGATGAAAGCTTGGTTTAGTTCTATCAAACCTTCAACTCAGATCTCTTTAATGTCTTTATCACAAATCTGTCGTCATGAGAAAGGTAGAAGATACTGCCACTTTTTCCAGCGGACGAAATTTCCCTCAAGCCATCATCGCCACAGATAGACATCATGTAGTCTGCAGCATCTAACTTGAACATCTCCCTTAAATTCCTATATACCATTGCAAACCATGCATAGTAAATAATTAGAAAGAACAAGCAATCTTTAATACACTAAGAAAAGCGTTGATGAGTAAAAGAATCATCTTAATCTGTCAAAAAGTACAAAAGGAGAGGAGATTAATGTGTTGAAAAAAAGCATCATTCCACAAAAGTTACTGTTATACCTAATTTATTTCGACTTCTATATGACTAAGATTATTAATTTTAAACTTCTTACCCACGTGTTTTGGTTAACAGATATCAAAATCCCTGACCATGATATGATCCTTAAGCAAAAGGTATTATCGATCAGTAATTTAAAGACCTGGCAGATACTTCCGTTTGAATCTTTAACAAAAGGATTTCACATTGATGTTCTGTTTCCAAAATTCATAGACGTATTGATACAGACATATGATACTATTATATGTATGTTGATAGAGGCCTATTATGCTATTATGTTTGCTGATTTAAAGCATTTCTAGAATAGGCGGAATAAAATAGGTTTACCTGAAAACCATAGGACAGTAGTCTTTCCAATCGAAATCAATGGACTTGTGCGGAGGTGTATATTGGGAACCGTTTCTTGGGAAGAACATCATGATTCTGGCTCTTTCACCAAAGTCAGAAGCACGAACTTCCCGCGGAGGCACTGGTGTAATTTTTCCAACAGTATACCTGTGAACTTCAAAAGATTTGTTGGTAAGAGAAAAACTAGTACAAGCATGGTCTGACTGTTTGTGTTCTGGACTGACTCACTAATCAAATCATAATGTGCAGAATAACTGTGTTTAGGCTACTGAGAAGTTTCAAGATCATACGAGAATGAAGAAACTGTTCAGAAGTGGTTTGAATGATTCTCTCTTGTCATTTGGATAACTAAGATCTATTTAAATTGGTTGTCCATAAGCTTCCACAAAGATAAAATGACTTGTGTCTTAAACTTGTTTACCTGATACCGAGTTGGAGGTTAAGCATTAGATAATGGTTCCATTTTCCTGCTAGAAAGCTCACACAAGCGCTAACTGTGACTTCTTTAGTAAGATTCAAAGGTCTAGCCCTGTGTGACATGTCGATAGAACTCATAATTCTTTCTTTGATCAAAACACCTTGCATGTATTCTCTTTCAAAAACGATAGGGTTCTTATCCCGTCCCTCGCTTTGGCCAGAGTCAACAGACCGTGCAGACTTGGATGAGGGCCCGTGATGCATAAAGTCTCGTGGAGGATCACTGGTGCTCCAATAATCATCAGGATACCTCTCTGAAGTTCTCGTCAGTCCACTTGTTGTAGTTATCTCAGAAAGACTTCGTGACACAGCTTTGGAAGTCCGCAAATCATCAATATTGATTGTCGAATTATGAGAGAGGAGGAAATTACCAGTGTCATCGTAACCAAAATGCCGATGCCACTTCTTTAGAGACGGGTGTTTACTTCCAGCAGGATAAAAGACTCCACTCCCATCTTTAAGGCCACGGGACCAGGTTCCAAAATAAAAACCACCATCAGCATACTTATAAACTCCAGAGCCATGTCTGAGACCATTCAACCAAAACCCATTAAACAGATCCCCATTTGCCCAGCTCATAACTCCTCTGCCAGACATTTTACCCTTTTTCCAGTTCCCAATGAACCTGTTTCCATTGTACCAAAAATAACTACCGTTGCCATCTTGCAATCCTTCTCTCCATGAGCCATCATATACATCAGAGTTACAATACTCTTTCCTTCCTAGACCGTGCCTTACATTCATTCTCCAAGCTCCAGCGTAGATAGATCCATCAGGCGA